AACTTCTATAAGAAGAAAGCTGAAATGCAATAATCACTTAGCGTGGCGTCTGATAGACACATTAATTACGAAAAAATCGTTGATCATCCATCTACACAAAGTCAAAGCTCATTCCAATAATTTCTGGAACGATATGGCCGATCAGTTAGCTAAGGCTGCACGTCAACTTGCACCTTATGAGATTAATCCCACAACTTTACCGGGTTCTTTAATGACCCCTATTTGGGCCTCTATTGCGCCGATTGACCGTAATATTAGAAAATTTTGTCACAATTTAACAGATACTTATACCTTTAACCAATTTTTGGATAATCCTTCACTTTCACCCATTTTTGATAGATTTCCTTTATCCTCAATACATTGGCCTCTAACTAGAGCGTGGTTACAATTTAATTCCACGTCCGATGTATGCAGTTCTACCAAGTCATCACACAACGCTTTTAAAATTAAAGCACTTAACCACATCCTTCCTTGTGGTGATGTTCTTACCAAACATTACCCTGATCTTTACCCCGATAACCATATACCTTGCCCGGTTTGTAACAACCATCAAGATACTAACGAACACTTGGAAATTTGTTCGAATCTTTCACCTTTAATTAACAATACCCTATTGGAACATAAAATTATATTACAACACCTCCTTGAGAAACATACTTCGTATAATCCTACTCTTATCAAACAATCCATTGATCAATTTGATCTCTTATCACCGATTTTGGAGTCGAATTCTTTCACTCATCCGATATATTTAATTATACACCAACTTGTTTCACAAGATTTTTATAATTTAGTACGATCCTTTACTTTTAATGACAAACTTACCCGTTCAATCATATGGGAATTTCTTACTTCATTTCACGATCGAATTTACCAACAAATATGGCCTAAACATTGTTCTCTGTTGAAATTGTGGGAACTACGTAATGGGATTACACCTAGACGCAAACGCGATTTTCGTAAGAAAAAACCTAGGAAGTCACGTGATCATTCAGCATCGCAATTTATCACTCGCTCTAGAGTTGCCTCTACTCCTCTTCACGGACCACAAAATCTTTCTTCGCCCAGAGTTAGGACGACCTTTTCACCCTCGGATGGTATTTCTCGCCGTTCACTTCACCCTTGGATTTCTTTGGCCCTGTCTACTTGCCCTGCTCACTTACCGCAATTACCGATGTGGTTGATTTTGTGTACATGTAATTTTTTACATTCTGGTGGATGGTTGTCTTCTGTCCGGCACCCTAGTAGTTTTGAGTTAGATATAGATAATTTTTCTTCTTCATGTAATTTTAAATTTAATTTTTTTAGTTCTTCATTTTCATTTGATAGTCCGTTTTAGACTCCAGGTTATGCTTGATTGTTCTATTGAATAATAGGCAAGACGACCCCTTCAGGCTTCTCCTGAGAGGTTGGGTAAAACACTAGCTTAGAATTTATTGATCTTTTAGACCATGTTTATTCCTATTTAGCGTTCGACCCCAGTCGAGTCTATATCATAAAAATAAAAATAAAAATAAAAAAAAATTAATTCGGACTTTTTAATTTTATNTTGTAAAATAAATAACAAAAGAACCGGATCGGTGGGTCGGCGGTCGGGGTTCAAAAATTTATTTTGTCCCAGGTCTTATGAAAACAGCTGTAAAAAAAAAAAAAAAATTTTTTTTTTTTAGCGAAGCGGCAAAGCGGCAATTTAAATTGGCTTTGGACAAGATTAGTAAGTCACGTGATGAAAATTACATATCGTTTTTCCAATATAATACCAAATTTGAAAACCAGTCAAGTTTAAAATTAATAATAATAATAATAATCAATAATTAAGGAAGTTTTATTAAGGATAATGGATTGCTGCAGATTTCTTAATCCCTTAAATGACGTTTCCCAAATGTAAATATTGAACGTTACATTACTACAAAAGATATTATGAGTAACTAAATAAATAACAAATCGGTTCTATCCGACGTTTCTTTCTCTTTAAATATATTTAAAATTTATAACAATTATTTTAACTATTAATAAAATAATGAGTGGGTTTTCATTAATGCTAGTTTTTTTTTAAAAAAAATTATTAAAAAAAATTATTAATAAATTTTTTTTTAAAAAAAAAATTAACTTGTGAGCGAGGTAACTCAGTACACAATAATATATTCTGTACTGTAAATCATCGGGTTAATAAACTTACATCCCCAATTTTTTGTTTCCTAAATCGGGTTTCTTATCATTCATGCAGAAATTAATTTTAGCTTGTGCTACAAAAACAACAATTACGCCTATTTCGATTTTCTTGAAAGGATTTTTTTTTTTTAGATTTTTGGGGCAAATATTTCTTTTAATATTAATACTGTGCCTTAGTTTCAAACTTACAAATTCATTATACATGATAAAGTTATATCAGGAATAAAGTCACTTTACTACGCAATTAAAATTAAGAAATATTATATTGATAATGAAAAAATATCTTATTACATTTTTTCTTTTTATTAAAAAAAAATTAAATAAATAAATAAAATAAACGATTTAAGGGTTAGATTTCGATCCTATTTAAACATGAATTTGATTAGAATTTGAATATTCAAATATCCCTCTAAAAAAAAAAAAAAATTTCGATAAAAATTTTAGAAACGCTTTTTTTTCAAAAAATTTGATAGAAAAACTCTGTAAAGTATATTATGTAATAGATGTAGATCATCAATTATTTATTCATTTGTAATCTTTAATAAACATTAGCATCTCGGAATTTTAGATTGATAAGTTTGTTTATCAAATAAATAAATAAAATATAAATAAATGGTAAATATTGAATAATACTTTATATTGAAATTTTGCCAATAAATTTTTTTTTTTTTAAGTAAAACATCATTTTTTGAAGTTATTTTAAATATTTATTTTATTTTAATAAAATAATAAATTAAACCAGAAGTGTTCATGTATATATTTTTATTTTAAAGTAATTTAATATTTGTAATAAGTATATTATTAATACAAACGTCGAATCGAAACCTTCTAATAAAAATGAGTTAAAGCAATTTTTTTAAAAAAAATTATTTTGGTAATAAACAGTTTTAGTTCATCTGAACGGAAAATCCTTTAAATGACAATTTTTTAGCACCTTACGAAATATGTCAATTATAACATCAAAATACAACGTTAGAACTTTAGTTATGAAGCTCCGGATACAGGGGCGGAAAGGCCCATTGTGACCGATGTCTTTTCAGCAATTTATTGTGACTACAAACTAGTGTTCCGAAAGGGTCGAGTCGGGTCGGGTTTGAGGATGTATTCGAACTTGACCCGAGTATAAAAACCAACCCGTACAAATACCCGGGTTAATATTTACATGACCCGACCTCTGACCCGACCCGATATAGTTTAACCCCCAGATAACCCAGGTCCAAATAAAATTTTCATATGTTTAAAATATATAATTTTTTAAATCCTCCTTACGCCCAGCCTAATTTCAAAGATATACACGCGCAATTTGTAATTGGTTTTACTTCTTTTGGCCGGTTCCTCCAGAAAAAATCTTCAACTGTAAAACTTTTAATTACAGGTAAAAAAAAAATTTAATATTATTTAATTACAAGATAATCTCTTACCATTGATGCTAGGTGTGAAACTGTGAATACTTTACTATATTTTACTAGTATATTTTCATAACGATTTAATAAAATCTAATAAAATATACTGGTTATTATTAAACATATACCTTCCATCATAGTAGAACATCTTGATTTCGATCTGCTCAAGGGTTATAGACTTCTTAAAATAAGTTCGCTTTCCAAGAGTTAATTTCTCACCCTCACTCATTTTATACGCAAACAAAGTTAGAAATTAAAAATCGTGTAACATAGTAAACGTTTGTAAATATTTTAAATATAAATATTTGATTAAACCCGGGTCAACCCGGGTCAACCCGGGTCAAGCAAAGGTGTGACCCTGACCCGACGGGCCGGGTTGAATATAAGACTCGTGTCAAATAATGATAAACTCGATTCGGATTTTAAATACGGGTCGGGTCAAATGACCCGGGTTTGACCCGACCCTTTCGGAACACTACTACAAACCAATATAACGCAATTTTACAATTCAAATTTAGACAAAAATGTTTTCCAGCATTCCGCTACAGAAATAATATGTTATGCTTCTAACGCTTCTCATCGTATATTACACTATACAAAGTCCGCAGTAGGTAAACAAATATTTATGTTGCTATCATCTACTTTTATTACGTACTCTATTACGTATGATATGACGTATTTGTATCATCAATTTATTATCTTACATTTTCCTCTATTTATAATTATAAACAATTATTAATTCTCGGTTAAAATATTATTTTTCTTGGAATATATTTTTCCTTTATTATTAAAAATAACAATTAATTTTATTCATATTATATTATAGTTAAAATTTTTATTTCACGCTGGAAAACAGTAACCGATATTTCTTCGGAATAATATATGTGTAACTTTCGCTAGGACATCGATCGAAATACGTTATCATATCGGTTTCATCCTTAGCTTTACAGTAGTAAAAAATATTATTATTCTATATTTTATTTTATATACGTAATAATATATACTGATGAATAAACTAACCGTTTTTCGGATCTCATAATTTTTTTTTTTATACGGATTTTAGTAAGTAAATGAATAATTATTTATGATCTGATAAGATAACCATATTCAAGATAATCATTTGTTTTCTTATTAGTATAAATATTTTTATAAATAATTAAATATTGAATAAATAATAATTATATTGTCTTTGTTTAATATGCCTCTTTTAGCTTTAGATTATTAACTTCTAAAATTTGTAAAAAATCACCAAAATAGGTATAAAAAGCACAACAAATTTTACTAAATATTTTCTCAAAATTAAACAATATTTTTTAATGTCCTTTGATTTGTTGTCATCCAATCCTCCAAAAACCCAAAAAACAGCTCTTTTAACTTCTATTAGCTCAGGCTCTTATTCGTTTGAAAGTCCAACACCCTAAGAAAATGAGTTACAACAATTTTAATAATTTAAACCCTCCGCAGCCACAAACTTCGCCATGTAATTGTAACACTTGTGTTACCATGTCGCATGACACCGGCTACCAACATCAATTTACCGGAAATTTTCAATCACGTCGTTCTACTAAAGCTTTAGCATATGTAGTACTTAACCCGTTCTGTATACTTCCTATACTTGTAGAAATTTCCGATATGAATGATGTTATTTCGGCACAATATGTGTCTACACCGTCGTATGATAATCCATACACGTGTAATCCACAAAGTGTTGATCATACTTTTCTAAATATGCTACAAGATATTAGGAATGTTCTTTTTCCTCAAGAAAATCCTTTTATGACTGTTAATCGTGCTTTAATTGCAAATATTCCAATGAGGACATACAACAATTACGACATGGCTAATGCATCTTCGCAATTACACACTGCAACTCCGCCGTATGACGCACAGTATATTGACCAGTCTGATCATGTAAACCAGCAGAATTTTCAAAATCCGTCGCATTACCCTTCTCCAAATAATCTGGGATTTCAAGATAGATATTAAAGTTAGTTTTTGCATTAGGTTTATCAAACGTTCACGTTAATTACAGATTCGATAAGACCAGTCTTTCTTTTATATAATAATCGCTCCATTATTTATTTGTTGATTATATATCTATTTTTAACATCATTATTATTTTTACTTTTTTTTATCTTAAATTTATTATCTTACATATGGTACGGTAGTTCATCAAGTAGGATTCTTCTTAGAAGAGTAAACTAACCGGTATCTTATTATTTTTATATTTATATATTAAATAAATTATTATTTTATTTTTAAATTGAAACAAGGGTATCAGCAGTTGACAGTTATATTTAATTTGATTTATTTTATTTTTTTTACATTCTTCTAACGTAACTCGTATTTTAAGTATTTTCTCAGTAATTGTTCCTGAAAATGTTTAAGTTGCTTTTAATATACGATTGTGTGTGATTTATAATAAGCTGTGCAAAAGAAACATTTGCCTATGCACGGTTATAAAATCTACTACTAATGCATTCCTTCGTAAAAAAATAAGAATTATTTGATATATAAACGTTTTCCTATATAAGAAGTTTACGTAAAGTATATTAAATTGATTTATGATAATAGCTATGATAATCCGGTGTAATAAGTTGCGCCAAGAACTTGTCGGTTGTCAGTTTTCGGCAAATTGAAATAAACACGTGACATTCAAGCCACATTAAAACCACCCTAGCGTCGCCTCCAAAAAATGGTAGCCGGTTCTAATTTGCCGGGTTACATATATTATTGAGAGGTAATAAATAATACGTGACATTTAGTACTTTACGTATAAAAAATTTTTTAAGTCCTCAGAATAATTACCTAACCCTTAATCCACTTACCCTAATCCTAGTCCTAATCCCCTTACCCTAATCCCAACCCTAATCCTAACCCTAACACTAAAGAACCGGCAAAATAATCCGGCTACCATTTTTTGGAGGCGACGCTATGGTCGTCGCCACATTAACTTAAAAGTTTTACAAGATTACTAGTTGCGGTGTGCATATTTTCTTTTTATAAGGTTTCTATATATCTATATTAATTAAAAAAAATGGTGTTTGTGTGGCCTGTATAAATTAATTTTGAATTGCTGATCCTCTTTATAGTTAAGACCCATCGGCAAGTCATGTTGTACATCTAATCCAATTCTGGACTTTTTTCTTTTCCTTTTTTTTTCTTTTTTTAAAAAATTTTCGTTTTTTTCCTCTTTCTTTCTTTTTTGTTTTTATTCATTCTTTTCCTGTTTAGATTTGGTTTTTTTTCCAAAACCGAAAAATTATTATTTTTTTTTTTATTAAATAATCTTCTAAGACTTATATTATTTTTTTTCGGTCTTTTTGGACCGAATTATTGTCCTTATTTTTTCAATTTTTTTCGGTACTTATTTATTTTTTTTAAACCGATTTCTTTCTTTATCCTTTCTTCTTTTTCTTCTATTTTTCTTTCTTTTTCCTTTTCGGTTTCTTTTTTCAGCCTGATTTTTCTTGTTTTTTTTTGTTTTTTCCGGTTGACTTTTTTTCCAATCCGAAAATTTTTTTCCACCAATCGTTGCTTTATCAAGCTAATTTGGTACTCCTTTTCCTTTTTCGGTTAGACTTTTTTGTTCTTTCAAATCGATTTTTTTTTCCCGAATACATTCTTTCACCATTTAGGTTTGTTGGCGGCGCCACGGCAATTGCCTTTTTTCCCCATCCTTATTATTAATAATAATAATATTTTTTTGTATCAAGCTCAATAATAGACTAACATAATTACTTATTTATTTTTTTTGTAACAATAGATCGTTATAATTAATTTTTCGAATTTTTTTTTCATATTAATTAGTGAGATATTTTTTTTTCTAGATGTAATTTTTTTTAATGCTACAATGGAATTTTTTAAGACA